AGGGATCGAAAGAGTCTGAAAGCGTCAAGAAAAGCTGCGACACCAGATCACTTTCCGCCAGAGTTGCTCCGGCCGTCTTCAATTTTCTCACGAGCCCGTCGAATTCAAGTAGATGCGTCCGCATGTCCCCTTCCTTCATCCGCAAACGAGCCAACTGCTTCCGTACTAACGTTTGGCTCGCGACAGACTTTTTCGCATAAGCCGCCTCCAGACTGACCCACATCTCCTTCGTGGTCGCCTTCTCTCGAACGGTCTCGAGGCATTCGTCCGACAGGCAACCCACCAGCAACGCCTTGGAGATCCGGTTCATTTCTTCAAACTTCTTATTTGGAGCTTGTTCCGTTGGAGCCACCTCGGTCAGCACATCCGCGACGCCTTTGGCTTCCAGGAACAGGCGCACTCGATATCTCCAGTTTTGGAAGTCAGCTCCGCTTCCACGCAGCAACGGGATGTCCCATAACCTCTTAAAGGGACAAACGGGAGACTCCAAACGAAGTATATGGTTTAACAGGAAAAACGAAGAAAAGTTTATTTAAACGTCTGTACTACACGAAGTGCGATTGTGGAATGAACAGTTATTAATTTTCACAAACAGGTAACGGGTCGTTGCCAGGGAAGGCTTCACAACAACGTAATAGGGGAAAGCGACGGCTGATTGCCTACTACGCCAACACATTATTTCTACATAATATCGCTATGACTACAAAGAACAAAATGTAGACAATATTTGTAGAGAAATCCCCGATTTTCCGAATATCTACATACTGTAGAACTGGTTTGTCCATCATTGGCGGGGCGACATCTGTGGGATTTGATGGTGGAAAGTAGTACTATTACAGCTTGATCCAAATGAGCTTTTATAAGGTGTCAAGTAACGCGGTATATGAAATCATAGCCTACCTAGTTATTCCCTAATCTCATAGATTCCAGGTCCATCTCTTTCTAAAAAAGTTCTGAAATGAATTTCATGGAAATTGAAACGCTTAGAGAACATCCATACATTAATAAAATTTTTGAAGAAGGTGTCTCAAAAGTTTTGACGTTCCAAGTATATGTATAGAGTGGGTCATGTTTGTATGACGGATCACAACTCCCGAAAGAGTAGTGGGACTCTTTCGATCTGTATTGAGGTTCACAACAACTGTGTCAAATTTGAACGGATTTCATTACGATCTTGATTAGCAGGAAAAATTTAAAGTTCATCCATATGACATATGAGAAAACCAATGGGAAACGAAACGATTTACTTGTCAATTTTTTTTTAATTGCTCAACTTTGATCAAATTTGAGACTTAGATTAAGAAAGCTATGTAAAACAACTTTGCTAAAGGCCACAAATCGTTTTGACTTGTTTTTTTTACTTTAGGCCTACCCAACAAACAATTGCCTATTGAAGAAACGACTTCTTGACGATTTTATTCCACTTCATGCTTAATAATACTTGTACTATTTTTAATAATAACTTCTGTTCAGGCTTTGTTCACACAAATCTGGAGAATTTATTCAACCACAACATCGAAATATTTGGTGTTGAATAAGGTATGTCGAGAAGCTTTTATTCGCCTTACAAGAGTTGTAAACAGAGCTTATTCGATCAAATTTTTGATTATTCAGCGTTTATTAGACCATCTTTACTTCCTTAAACAGCGATGGTATAAAGGTGTATAGACGCTTGAATCTCATGTGAAATAATGTTTAATTAGACACTATTATACATTTATTAAACGATTATTCAACTACGGGATAATTAATCCGAAAATAAGAACGGCACAGAGCAGGGTTGTTCTCGTTAGTGATTGTTGTGTCATTATTTCTGTCGAATTTATTACATATACATACATACACACACATGTCATTATATGGGATTCGAACCATAACCTTCCGATCACCAGCCGCTTGCCTTGCCATCTGAGCTATCCTAGATACATCATATGAGCAGCTAAATAAGCAATAAAAGCTTGAATCTGAAAACCTATCAGCGCTTCCAGCCGTAACTCTAGCTAATTCAAGAAGATGTGAGTATGATTAATTCATTCGTAGTTGTTTAACATTAGACCAACGTTACTTCTCCATCGCTCTAATTTCAATGGAAAGGATGCTATTCTTTTCGATAGATCTACGAATTGGTTGTCGTGAGTGATACGATTTATGATTACGATTTAAATTAATTAGGAGTAGAACATAAATAAAAAAAGGGTTGAGGCTGGGATTGAACTCGCGACCTTCTACTTGGAAAGCGGAAACGGTAACCACTATGTTACCAATTTCGTTTTGTTCTTAGCCTGAAGCACTGTTGTGGAATAATGAATGAATACGCCGTTTGTAAAGCATTTATAAAGCATGCAATTAAAACATGGACGCATAGTGCTATAAGAGCTATTATGCTGACTGTATTCACCTTTATTCAGCAATATTGTTAAGCAATGCAATGGAATCTAGTAATGGAGCTAGAAAACAATTATTAGACGTATAATAAAGCATGTTATTAAATCAATTGAAACAGTCGGCTTAAAGCGTCAATGTATGTGCAAATTACACTTATTCAGTATGTTATTAGATCAAACTTCTGGTGTTGAATCAGGAAGACAGTCATCGTTTGTATAGATTTTAATAAGTATATTAATCAAATCAGAGCAATCAGTGGAATAAAGGTGCATCATAGATCTCAATGAGGTTTTCTGAACACATAATTTGCCAACCCGTTTTATTCAGCATTGTACACTGTTATAAAGCATTTATTCAATCTATATGCTTATTTGTGACTCTGAATTGTTTTTGGGCAGTGTTGTGGAATAATGAATCTAATACGTCGTTTATATAGCATTTACAAAGCATTCAACTAAAACATGGACGCATAGTGGTATAAGAGCTATTTTGCTGACTGTATTCACCTTTATACAGCAATATTGTAAAGCAATGCAATGAAATCTAATAATAGAGCTAGAAAACATTTATAAGACGTCTAATAAAGCATTTTATTTAAGCAATTGAAAACAGTCGAATTAGAGCAACAATGTATGTGCAAATTACACTTATTCAGTTTGTTATTAGATCAAACTTCTGGTTCTGAATCAGGAAGACAGTCAACGTTTATAAAGCTTTTAATAAGTAAATTAATCATATCAGAGCAAACGGCGTAATAAAGGCGCATCTATCGATCTCAATGCGCTTTTTTCAGCACATAATTCGACATCTTGTTTTATTCAGCATTGTACACTATAATACAGCATTTATTCAATGTGTATGCTTATTTGTGACTTCGAATTGTTTGTTGGGTAGTCCTCCACGCATACCTACAAGCGTATATTATACGCCTGGTGGTATGCGCGGAGTACTTGGTCTAAAGTAAAAGGTTGATAACTTTTTGCACAAAAGTCGAATCAATTTGCGATCTTGAACAACCTTGTTCTGCATAGTTTCCCCAATCTAAAACCCAGGTTTGGTAAAAATTGAGCATTATTAAACAAGCAACTGAAGAGTTTAGTTCCATTACCATTAACCACACATTTTCCCAAACAATCTCTCAAGTTCTCCCGCAAATCCAGATCATAAGCAAATTCGGCACAGTTATTGGGGACCGCAATACAGATGGAAAGAGCAGTGGGAAGCAGCGGGTTGTTAAGTGTATAACCACCATTATATACAAGGTATAGCAAAGTAGGCTACAATGATGGGGTGGGGGGGGGGGGGGGGGGGGGTTCTTAAATTGATCAAAAATACGCTACGTCATTAGAACTATCCGTTCTTCATTTAATTATTTTTCTGTTCTATCAAACAAGTTTAGCTTATCCATACCTACGTACTCTTACATTATTGTTCGTTCATTTGTGTCGTTTAAATGTGCGCTAGCCGTAGGGTCTTCGTCGCATCTCCGTGCTTGATCCGTTGTATCGTATTCATGAGGTACCTACGTACTTATCTTTTGTTCGGAATAAATTCACTCACTAATCACAAGCATCTGGAACATCTTATTCATTCTCATAAAGCAGCTCACAATCTCACAAAAAATAAACACCTTTATGATTGGAGTGATACGTTTTTCAAATTTGAACTGTTCCGTTATTTGATTGGCTTTAGAAAGGTTTCGAAAACAAACAAAATAACGTCCCTGGTTGCTGCGATGGAACCGATTTCATCCGATCTCGTCAGTTCGCTCTCCTTGCACGGTAAGATGAGATCGATTTCATTGCGCCACCTACAAATGTCTGCATCATTCGCTTCGATCCTTTCCGATCGTGGTTTTAACAAAATTGAAGGTTTTACTACTCAAGAATAACTCTCGATTCTCCGCAACGAACGGACGTGACTTGGTGCTTTTGCAGAGTGGTTGCGTTACTGTGGGTTCTCGTGCTCGCTGCTTACATTTTGGTCTTTGTTGTGATGATGTCCGCACGCACGCCTTCGTTTGGGAGGAGCAAAAGTGTTACAGCCGTCCGAAATTGTTAGTGAGGTATTATGACAGCGACGACGAGCGGTTGGTCAAAGATGGTTCCTTTAACTGCGTATGTTGTGCGTGTTTCACTAACTAATTTCAATGTTGATAAATTGGACCATCCGGAAAAAAAATTTGCATAACTTCTAATCGCTTTCTGAATTGGGTGTCGGAATGGATGTGAAAAAAGTAACCTTTGAAGTGTTAACAAGTAGCTTTTAGCTTTAGGGGCGATTCAAATATGACATCGACAAGTTTTTTGATTTTTTTTTCTACTGTCACAAATTCTAGGACCGCCTACCATATGTCATATTTGAATCGACCCTTAGCAAATTTCTAAAACCAATTATAGTTACCTAGCGCCTCCGTAGTTTGTAGGTTACGGTTTCATCTGTGTTCGTGCTAATCTCTGCCTATGTCCTTTGATTGTTTTTTGTGTATTTCATTTGTAAAACCATTGTTATTTTCTAATAGTTTTAGTTTTATAAAAATCCCGTAGATGTTTGCATACATTTCACCACGATATTGTTGAGTTTGCGCATTACTAAATGGCTTATTTACCGTCCAGAAAACAACAAAGTCCCACTGGCTATGGTCCAGACGATGAAGAAACTCAAATCCGGCTACATCAACGGTACCCGTGTGATTCTGGGTAATCTGGGCGATTTCATCAACACCTCTGCCATCACCGATCTTAGCTTCCTGGGCAGCCAGGAGGATGGCTATCCGGATAGTAAGTCGAATGCATGCGTCAAATGTCCCAAATCTAAAACCCAATAATTTCAGAACTCAATCCCGCCGTGCAAGCCTATTTGGATGAACATTTGCTGCGGTCATTCAGCCACCGTACGTCCACTACCTCGATCCGCTCGTCTGGACTGCGACCGAAGAACCTACGCCGCCGGATGTCCGTCAAAGGTGCCATCAAAAAGACACGTTCGATCAATGTCGACTGTGAGTATTTTCGTTCTGATAACGCGTGCCGAATTTGGTTTATATCAAATGACTATCTATTTACAAACAGCGGAAACCTTGGGTATGGAGGGTAACGTAACCGAGCGCCGTTTGTCCCACTCGGTGACGCCTCAGTGGCTGGAACCGAACCAGTCCGGAACGGTGACGCAGCCCGGAACGGTGCGGGATCCGTCGCCGAATCAGCTAAGCCGCTTTAGCGAGCAGCGAGTGTCCATGGACGAAACCAAGAAGTTGCACATCCAAACCTCGGCCACGAATGCTAGTATGGGACAATTTTTTGAGTCTTTTGACTACCAGTCACTTATTGGTTCCGATGTTTTTCCAGCTCCCAAGATTCAAGTGCAGCCACTGCCCAGACACCGTCCGGCCACGGAGACGAACTTCGAGAATACCGAAGTCGAAGAGCTGATTGCCATGCTGCGTGAGACGGAGAGCCTCGAGGAGCAAGGTGACATCCTGCAGCATCTGGTCGACACTCAGGGACTTGATTTCAACACCGGTAAGTGTGGCGGATGATGTGCAGTGAAGGCGTTTCGGTCTCTGTTTTTAATTTTTGTGTTTGTTTGGAGAGTGGAAAAATCGTTTCGAGGTATATATTGAAGATGTGCGGTTGCGAGGAACTTCCTACGCAGGGGGCGGGACACCTTGGCTGAATATATCAACATATTTATTGATATGTAGGGGAAATGGATGTAACGTCGGCCTAAATGCCCCTGGGCCCATACATAAATTGAGCAATCGACTAAATTTTCAATAGCGACCAAAAATATACATTAGTACTGTCCCAATGATGCGTTCAACTAGATAATATCGATAAATAGCAGATTTTTAGCGATGGGCCCAATCTTAGATCCATAGGCCAACATTAGAGCCATTTTCCCTATTTTCATTTTCTTGATTTATATTAAAAAAAACGTATCCGTAGAACAAATCAGTGATAACATTTGATAACGGCACAAAAGCATTTGTAAACAAACTTTCTAAAGCCCTTTACACGCGAACCAAAGTACGCCCACGCAAACCAACAACATTATCAGATAGGGGCAACTATCACCTTTCCGAAAGTGGTATTGGTTTGCGTGGGCGTACTTTGGTTTGCGTGTAAAGGGCCTTAGAAAGTTTGTTACAAATGCTTTTGTGCCGTTATCAAATGTTATGCCTAAAATGTTGTTCAGCACAAACTGCTCTATCTGCTACATGCATTATTTTCTTAAAATTCTCTAATATTTTCGTTGTATTTGATGATATTTTCTAATAGGGGAAATGCTGGCTTCGGCAATACTTTAACCTACTATCGTCAGGAGGTAAACAAAGTCCCAGAGCACTCAAATTTGGCTGATAGATGCTCTGAAACACAATATATCCACATGCCAAAATTGAGCTCTCAAGTGGCCCCCTGACGATAATAGGTTAAGGTATTGCCGAAGCCAACATTTCCTCTATATCAAAGTTGCCCCTTGTTCCTATGGGAAGCTCAAGGAACTTCGGACGGGAAAATTCAAGAAACTTTCGACTGGAAGGTTCAAGTAACTATTAACTGGAAGGTTCAAAGAGCTTTCCAACGAGAAGTTCATAGAAATTTCGACAGAAATTGTCAGGAACTTTTGACGGGAAGTTAAAGGAAACTTTTGACGCGAAGGTTCACAGAACTTTCGAAGGAAAGTTTGACGGGAAATTCATGAAAATTTCAACAGAAAATTCAAGGAACTTAAACGGAAAGTTCAAGTGCAAGGAACTTCCGATGGGAAGTTCAAGATGCTTTCGACGGGACTTTCAAGGAGCTTTCTACACCCAACCGGAAAATGTTAGATTCTATGACAGATCTCCTGAAGGTTTTATACAAAAAAAAATGCATTCTGGAAAATCTTGCTTGCACGCTGTTATAGTCCATTGCAAGAACTGCCATTACGTTTGTTGTATTAAAACATGCAGAGGATGTAATAAATCCAACCTTAGATTGGATGTAAGAGTAATTTGCATGTACGGAAATGAAGGACTTTCAATTGGAAACACAAGAATCTTTTCTACCGACAGTTCAAGAAACTTCCTATGAGAAGTTTACACGGCGAATGAGAACGACTCAAATTTGAGTTTAGTTCACTCATAATCGCCAAAAGTGCAGGAACTCAGCGATGAGTAAATTTTCCTCATGTTTTCCCAGGTTTTTCCAAGATTTTCCAGGGAAAAATTCCCGAATTTGAGAAAAGTAAAGATTGGATTCACTCAGTCTATTGGTACAACTCCGAGACTGAATAAAATTTTCGTCAATTTCCTCATTTTCCGGCAGATTTTTTAGGTTTTCCACAGAAAACCATGAGACAAATTTAACTCATCGCTGCGTTCCTGCACTTTTGGCGATAATGAGTGAACTAAACTCAAATTTGAGTCGTTCTCATTTGCCGTGTAATGAACTTTCAACTGGAGGTTGATGGGACTTGGGTATGTTGCAAGTTAAAATTTAAGGAAATTCCAAGGGGCATTCAAAGTTAGATTCTAGGAACTCCCAAAAGAAAGTTTGCATAACTTCTAAAAAGTTCTTCTGAGAATATCAAAGAGGAAGTTCCGAAGGGAAATTCGAAAAATTGCTGAAGAGAATTTCCAAATAGAAAAGAACTTCTGAAGGAAGTTCACAGTAAAAATTGGAGGAATTCCATAGAAAGATCTGGAAGAGCTAGTAGTGTTAGTTAATCACACATGGATTCATTATACTGCATGAATTCAACAAGTTTGTTTATACTGTAAAATTTTGGAAAAAACAGCCAAACGGATTATCCCATTACATAAGAAGCAATGGTACGAAGAAAACTATAAACGCGTTTTTCTCGGCTTGCTGATTTGTGCTATGGGACGGACTTGCCATGAGCGGCAGTGATGGAAGTCCACAAGAAGATCTGCAGGAAATCCACATGTAGATCTGGAGGAAGTTCACAGGAAGATCTGGAGGAAGTTCACAGAAAAGAGTTCCCATTTCCAGGAAGATTTGGAGGATGTTCACAGCAATTTTTAGGAAGTCCATAGAGAAATCTCGAGAAAGTTCACAGGAAGATGTGGAGGAAGATTACAGGAAAATTAGACAGAAGTTCACAGGAAGATCTGGAGGAAGAGCACTAAAAGATATGTCGGGAGTTCACAGAGAGTCCATAGAGAAATCTGGAGGAAGTCCACAGGTAGATCTGCAGGAGGTGCTTATGAAGATCTGAAGCAAGATCACTAGAATATGTGTCGGAAGTCCACAGGAAAATCTATAAGAACCCACAAAAAGATCTGAAGGAAGTCCATAGGAAAATCTGGAGGAAGTCCACAGGAAACTCGAAGAAGTATACTGGAAGGCCACAGGATGATCTGAAGGAATTCCATAAGATTTTTTTATATTCTTCATTGAGGTCATTTTAAGCCACTTCTGGGTTTGTTCATCACCAATTCCATAAGAAGATCTTTCAAAACTACACGGGAAGATCTGGTAGAAATTCACATAAATATCTGGAAGAAGTCCACATGATGAACTGGAGGAAGTCCACAGGAAGATTTGAAAGAAGCCCAAAAGAAGGTTTGGAAAAAATCAAAGAGGATCTGCAAGTAGGCCTTGAGAAAGCCAAACGGAAGTTCTGGAAGAATAATGCAGAAAGATCTGCTTAACGAACTCTCGATTACTTTTTCAAAGGGACGTATCAGCTTTTGTAAACAATGCATTTGATCGTCGATTTGGCGTAACTGTTAGCTCGCCCACGCATTCTAACACTACCCTCATATAGAGGAAATTTTCCTCTACCTGTTAGTAGTATTAGTATGCGTGGGCGAGCTACCAGTTAGGCCAAATCGACGATCAAATGCATTACAAAAGCTGATCCCTTCGAAAAAGTAATCGAGAAGGTCTGTAGACAAATCTGGAGGTATTCCACAGGAATATCTGGAGGAAGATTTGACAGAAGTCCACAGGAAGTCCTATGTAGGAAGTGTACTAGAAGATATGTGTGTGTGTGTGTGTGTACAATCTAACCCCCACTGTCCGGCAGTGTTATTATGGAAGAAAACTGCTTTTTATTACCCTTCAATTAAAGCAGGTTTAGTCCGGGAGTTAGAAGGTGTTAGCTCTATTGCAGCTCCAGTGACCCATTTCAGAATGCCTGGTAATTCACGACCACTCCGAGGTCACTTTTACTTACAATAAGCCCCGCATGTTCACTCTACCTTTATCAAATGGATAATGGTATCATAAACACACTTCCAGATTCAAAAAATATTATTTCCAAATCTGGCACGTATATAGTTTTGAAATTTGTTTAACTGTAATAAAATGATTTGAATGGACATTTCTTACCAATTTTGTTTCGAATACCTCTTGATTCATCTGCTGGCAGCACTTACTGGACCTTACCGGCGACCAACTCGTCTGCCCGCAAAAGCAACAACGCCTAAATCTCAAGGCTCTCCGGACGTCCCCTCGAAAATGCAATCGAGATATGTATAAGAACAATCTTCAACTGGAACGAACTCACCAAATCAATACAGTCGGGAGTACATTCCCGATGCTTATTTTTCTCTCGCATGCCCATCGTCGTCAAACGGCAAAAAAAGGGAACTCGTTGAGCAATTTTGTGATACGGAATTTTCACTGAACATAAACCGCGAATTTACGAACTTCACCACTCCCAACTGCGAAACACGTTCAGAAGCACTTTTGGTACACTTTCGATCAATTTCTTTCGAAGACACAAAAAAAAAGTTTAAGCAGTGAGCCAACATCAACACCGATTGTGCCGAACTCTTTCACGCACCTTGCAGCGCGTAAATAAACTGAAATTAAAAATTATCACTCGCAATGCCACTAATTTCTGGTCCGGGAGAAAATCAAATAACGCAGATTGCGACATTTCTTCTGATGCTTGTAAACATGTTGAATCACGTTTTCTTTCTCTATTCTAAAACTTCCCGGAAAGCGAGAAAACTACCAATCACACACGTATAAACGTCCGGGAGGCAGAGCGCCAGCGCTAATCCGGCAAATGCAGCCGAAAACTATGAACACGAACGCACCACAAAACAGAGAACAAACAACCGTATCCAAAGGCGTTCCAATTTAGCAGAAACTAACATTTCAGACTAAAATCCACTTCACGAAAACTAAACTAGGGATTGTTTTTCATTAAAAGCACTTCAGAACGGAGAATCACGAGAAAAAATCTTGACAGTAAAAATAAACACGACCGTTCGCCGGCACAGCCTACTTCGTTAAGGTTTTTCAAGGAAGAGGCGTTTTTCTCAAATAGCTCTTAAATAAACGCAACCAAATTTTTATATTTCTGCTCACTAGCAAAATACAACCGAAAAATACTACTGATGAGGAGGTCTGATATACTGGGTAAACGGAAAAGATTTGATAAGGAGTTGGAACGTGATAAAAGTAAACTGGTTCGTTTGAAGTTTCAACCAAAACTCTACTAGAAGATATGTCGTAAGTCCATAAAGAAACCTGAAAAATGACCAATAATGATATCTGGA